GGATCTTGCCCTGACGTAGCCTTAGGAAAAGACCTTTCTCTGCTCCAAGTGCTCACCTGAGCCACTGTAAGAACATGGTTTGCAAAACTCATGTGTTAGTCAGGGTAGGAGTAGCTCTTTCGATTTATATTCTCATAACAATCATCAACCCTGTGGCTCCAGGACCATGACTTGCCCGTTTTCACACAGTTATTCAACTGGCAAAGCTGGTGAACCATGTCTGGCTGGGGGATGTTGGCAGAGGGGCAGGTTCAGGGCTCCCAGCTCCCTTGTGTGGCTTGGCTCCTTTAGTGCTGCCAGCTTTGCCCTTTTGGCTCTCCTGAAGCAAAACCTTAGATTTAGATAGTAACAGGTCACAAAGCTGACCTAGCTCGCTGAACTCTTTACCAGCTGCCATCCTGCTTCTGCCACTTCTGCTGCAGCAGAGGAGCTTTTCTCCAGCCTCTGCAATTGCTCCCATCATTGTGATGCACCCAAAAGGGCAGAGAGGAGGAGTGGAGAGGGTTGGGGCATGATTTTGCCCTGGTGGGATGTGGGATGGCCTTGCACAAGTCATGATCCTGGGAGCATGCTGGCAGGGGATGAAAGCAGTTCTGGAAAAGGTAACTCAACAGTCCCAGAGCAAAAACCACGAAGCTGCGAGAGGGAGAATCTAAATCATAATGAACACCCCACATTAAAGCAGGGCAGGGGGGACCCCAGGGAATCAGGACTGTAAGCAAACTGGCAAACACAGGCAGGATCACCAGGGTGGTTCCTGCCTCATCAGAAAGTGGAGGCCTCCAGGATGGACCAAACAATGTGGTCCCAGCTCCTTGGCTGACAATGCCCCTTCTTCCAGCCATCAACCAAGCCTTCCTTAGACAGGGTTACATGGCACCAAGGAGGACATGAACCAAGAATCATCATCATCTCCAGGATTGCAGGGCTCAGGCACTTGGATGGATGGGTTTAACAACCAGTCTTACCATGGGCTGCAGGAAGCACTTCTGGCCCAGAAGAATGGCTGTGACCAAGTGATGTCTCAAATTCTTGTGGCCTGCCTTACCTTGAGAAGGCTTCATGGTATAGTATGGCTTTACGCTAGTGAGGCCATGAGGGTAGATGTTGTACGGTCGGCTTGCCAGGTTCCTGAACACAATCTGAAATGAGGACAGCCAGCAAGAACATTTAATGCTTTCTGAATGTTGTGAGACCTCAAGGCTGCCCTCAGCGTCCTTGCAGGGAGGGAAACGCTGGGCAGCAGTGCTGTAGGATCAGCTACATGCCCATGTCCAATGGGGAGGAACCTGGACATGTCTGGGACCATAAAGCAGGAGTCAAAATAGAAGAAAGACTGTTTATTTTTCTACCAATCTAAACTGTCCATCTTTCTGGGAAGTGCCCATTTTAGAGAGGGCATGAAAATACCATATTTATTAAAGGGGAAGTTTAATGTCTTTAGTCTTACTTTGCATATGAGACAGAAGAGGTCTGTCAATCCAGGAGGCGTCAGAGGACCAAGACATTAAGTCTGCACAGCGGTCAACAGCTTCAAAGTGCTCCCCACTTTACTGTACAGAGTCCTTCATTTATTTCTATAAAGAGCTCTGTCGGAGCTTTACCACAGGTGTTACCTTCAGCTCCATGCTCACAACCGCACAGGGAACCCCAGGCAGGGAGCAGAAATGTGAAGCTCCTGGAAACCATCCCATTCCTCCTAGCAGCAAAGTCAAGTGGTCAGTAGAGGTACTTGGGAAGACACAAGAAACAGTTCCCCAATACTATGGTAAGAGTACACAGATGGAGAAGAGTGGAGGATGAGAGGACATTCCTGCCTCAGAGGAACGTGCTGGGTGCTATTTGTCATAGATTAATTCACACGATTCCTAAGACACTTGCAATGAAGTCAAATCAAGGGGACCGGGCTGCATCCTGTCCATCTCTGCTGACCTCACCAAGAGTATTTAGCTTCAGCTTTCAGTAACATCTGCCTTTCTGTTGAACTTTGGACATTACCAAACATGACAGGGCACCTCAAGGAGTTATGTCAGACCAAGAGCTATTAGGAGGAACAGCATCAAGCTTTCCCCTTCCAGTCCCTTCCAGTTTCCCCTTCCAGTCCCTCTTTGTGGAAAGCAATCTCTCTTACCTTAAACTGATCTCCAACCTCCCCCTTAATGACAGGCCCCAGAATTCCCTTGTCCAGTTGATCTGACACCTTGCGCTTCTTGAAGGTTGCATCCTCATACTCCACAAACATCACTTTCTTATACTTTGAACCAATCCGCTGAGGGCCAGCCTCCAGGAACAGGCTCGTGATGTTTCTGCAGGCAGGCAGAGAGAGCAAAGAGCCACATGCAGGATGCTGTCAGAACCAAAGCAAGATCTTCCATTGACTACGGACGTACACAGCTGCCCGGGGACTACCAATGCACAGTGGGGACACCCATCCCTGCAATCATAATATGCTTCCTGGGGAATAATGTTTCAGGTCATTCAGTGTTTCTTTAATGGAGAAAGTCTCAACTAGGTTGCACGGTAGCAGCCTTGTGCTGACACTGCCCTGTTTTGGAGGAAAGTGGTGACTATAAGAGCTGAGACCATGGCAGGTTGTCCTGTGTCAGGGAACACCCCCAGTATGCAGGCATAAGACAACAGAGCAGCTGCCTTTTCTTGATCACCCCAGGTCCTTCCCAGGAGCAGGGCCAGCCCCAAGCTGGAGAGGACACCTCCTCTGGCTTACCCTGTGAGGCACTGCAGGTGGGGATTTCTGTCCTGCACGCCTTGCTCCAGCAGCCACTGGCTGGACTCCCCATCTGGAGCAGAACTCGGTGACGCCGCTACCAAGCCAGCCCCAGCCCACACAGCCTGTGTCAGCAGACACTGTGACATTGGGATTGGTGACAAGCGTCACCGCCAGGCAGTGCTGACTAAGGTACTTCTGCTGAGATATCGCACTTACATCACATCTCTCTCCAGGAAGTGGGGCAGCAGCAGGGGCTAATTGCCTCTGCCATCTACAGCAGACCTTCCCAGACAGTGCAAGGAGACCCACGCGCTGGGGCTGCAGGCACGTGTCCTGGCTGTGCGGGACCTCCTGGCTGGAGGGTGAGAAGGGTCACCAGATCTGCTTAGAAGGGGCTGACCCCGGAGACCTGGGCAACAGAGAAGCAAATGCCCTGGAGACAAATGCCTCTGCGGGGCATGTGGTAAAATGGATCAAAGCCAGGTCCTGACTTCCCATGGTCTCCCCAAGACCATCCTTGTCCTACATCCATACTGTTAGCATTAATAAGGAAGAACAAAACTCTCTAGGTTGGGCAGAAGGCAAATAAATTTATGGGGAAAAGGGGAAGAGCTGGCAGGACTGCCTCGAGGAGCAGCCTCATGGGCACACATGCCCAATCTCACCTGTCCAGAGACACTGGCTTCTCAGGGGCATAATCCCAGTCCATTTCCTCAGCCGCGATGTAGTGAGTCCAGGTCACAGGTATCTCTTTGGCGAAAGAGCGCACTTGGATCACATGGTAAGTTTCCTCATCTTCTTCAGGGTAATCCATGTCCTCTGGCTCATCCGACAGCTTCCCCATCTTCATCAGGCGCTCCTCCAGACATTCCTCCACCTTCACAAAGGCCTCCATGCCAGCTGCATTCAGACAAGCCAGGCAGAAAGGGTCACGTTTACATGCCAGCACAAGCATGCACTCCCCCAGGTTCTGCTTGGGAGATGTCCTCCCCATCAAATGGGCCATCACATGGGTCAACATATGCCACCCTGGTCACAGGCCAGATTGCACATGGACATAACACTACAGAGCAGGCAGGGCCTTGGAGCTGCAGCACTGCACAGAACCCTGAGCCCGGGCCATCCCTTGAACCTCTTTTCCCCCGAGCTCTTACAGAATAAAGTTACCTTGCTGATGGGACAGTATCTGGCAGAACATCCGAAACCAGCCAGCTGTTCCTGGCATGGTCTGGGCTGTGAGATATGTGGCAGGGGAGATTTCTAGGCTGCTGAGACGGTGGCTTCTCACTAGGAATGTGTGGGCTTCAAAGAAGATGGAGTGGACTTCTGGCCCAGTGCCCAACCCGATCACATGCCAGTGGACCTGCTTCTTGAGGCACAGTGTGAGACCTGCCAGGAGAGAAGGAAAGCACCCAGGAGTCAGCACTGTGTCCATCTCTTGTCCCCACTCTTGGTGTCATGGACTCAGAGCCTGACAAGTGCTGAGTACAGTCCCCTGCCCTGCAAGGTGGTGGCTTCAAGTTGGAGAAGTTGCATGTGAACATGGACTGCCTGAGCAAAAAAGAGGCACAGGCCACATCATCCCCCTGAGATAAGACTAGATTTACAGAGTGAGGGACTTTGGCAGTGGCTTTGGGAGGCCTGTTGATGGGAGCTTACAGCAGGATGCAGTGGCAAAAGAGGTAGATGTGCTCCTTGATTCTATAAATAGAGGAATCATTTATCTGATCACAACAATGGCAAGCCTCATACTAAACACCTCATCTCTGGCAGGGCTCCAGCATGTCCTCAGCAGTAGTTGAAATACCCCAAAAAGGCCAGAGAGAGGTCACTAGGATTATTTGAAGGCTGGAGAAAATTCCTCCCTTGGAGAGACTCAAAGAGCTCAGTGTGCTTAGGAAATGGGAGAGGACTTGACTGCATTGTAAAAATATTTTCCTGTGGATAAATTAGTGTGTGCTGAAGGGCTCTGTAATCTAGCAGGGAAGTGAATAACAAGAACAAGTTTCTGGAAGCTAAAGCCAAACAAAGTCAAATGCAGAGTCAAGCAGTTGTTTTTGGCACTGAGTGTGATAGGTGACTGGAACAGATCCCAAGAGTCCTGGAGGAGACAGGGTGGAGGCTCCATCCTGAGGCCCTCAGCTCTCCATTGCCACCTCTCCATCAGGCACCTCTCAGGCTAGGTCCCGCAGCCAGACAGGGGGTTGCTGGGTGGCAGTGGATACCTTCTCAAGGGGAAACCCACTGGCAGATCAAGGACTTGTGATGTGATAGTCCCTCTGGGGATAACACAGCCTAACAGATCCATCACCTGGAAACTCCTCTTGATGTCCCTTCTCACATCCTTTCACAAGTTACCCTGAGTTTACAGACCTGGCTTCACCCCTGGTCCTAGCACCTCCCATCCCCTCTATCCCTGTCCCTGGCACACTAATACTCACCAGGCAGTGAGCCATTGATGTAGCCATTGATGGTGTGCAGCTCTGTCCTGTTGTGAGGCAGGGGTTGAGTAGCTGCTGAGTAGCCGGGCTCAGAGTACCAGCTTTTGCCTGTGGAGAGAAGATGACACAGTCAGTTTTCAGTTGAGAGCATTTCAAAGAAAAAGGAAACTTTCCCACTGGGGTGAAACAGTATGAAAGCGAAAATCTATGAAAGTCTCCAGGGAAGTCAGATGCATGGTGCCTGTCGGAAATCCACAGCAGACCTGGCCATGGTTCTGCGTGAATGTGGTGCTGACCATTGCACGTGACAGGGCATTACTCCCCTGCAGCTTTAGCCTGTGTGATGGAAAGAAGGCCAGGGCATGGGATGGGAGAGCTGGGGGGCTGCAAGCTCCCTGCACCTGGGGCACAGACGAAGGAGTGGCAGTACTGCACCAGGAGCCCATTAGTTGCGGGCGCTGTACAAGGCTGAAATCCTTGGGAGGCAGCATGGGAGCTGAGCAGCTGCACTCACGCCATGGCCACAGCACGCACCCCAGACCAGGCTGAATTCAGTGTCCAATATTGGTCAACACTGTAGTTACCTTCATCAAACACTGCAAAGAGCATCACAAACTCTTGCTGCATGTCCTGGTTCCCATCGCTTGCCAGGGTCCCTGCAAAATGCCATGAGATAGATCTCTTTAAAGTTCAGCAAGCACCATGCCCATCTCCCCAGAGAATTCCCTTTGTGCCCTCCAAGAATTGGTAAATCAGGTCCAGTCTGTAGATTGCTTTTGTCATGTCTCATGACTGGTACAGCCCTGTTTTCAGCCTTGCAGTCCCCAAAAGCCCATGGTTGAGAGGCAGCTGCCCCCAGAAGGCATCAAAATGTCAGTTTGTGCTGCCTTCCCCTCACAGGCTTTCAGGATCCACTTAGTCACCTGTAAGAGCCCATTTTATCTATCCCCCCTCATCAGCACCATCATCTGCCCTCATCATCTAGACTTCCCTCCATCAGTGGAGAAACTGCTCCTGGTAAGTCACTGGAGTGTGCAGACAGTGCCCTGGGAGGAGGTGACTCATGCCCATTCTTCTCCAGTGACTACAGAGGGGTCTGGACAAATACCTCCAGGACATGGCTCAACCAGGGGTGACCAATCCCACCCCAGGTACCCTTCTTGCACTCAGCAAGTATTAAGAGTCAGGATTTCATCACCTCCATGTTTACCAAAGGAAGGAGAGTAGGCACACGTACTGTGGACCAGGCAGTGCTCCAGGTGTCCTGCCTCTCTCCTGCCTGATCCTTAACCCTTGCTGATAAAAACTTCCCTCTAGTTCTTCTGACAAAACCCTGTTTGACAAAGCACCCTGGCTGACACTCAATGATCACAGCTTGGTGAAGTTCTGAAGGAAAGACAAACATTTATGCCTCCATAGCATGGATAGGTAAGGTTCAGATGCAAGATAGAAGATTTCATCTGTGGTCTGAAATCTTGCAAAGGAAAGAAGCAACGAATTTCTCTCCAGGAGGTAAGTCCAAAGTGTGTTTAGCTCCTGCACTGGGAAGGGACTCTTTGAGGAAAGGGCCAAACCCCAAAAGTACTGTTGTTGACCACAGCTTATGGACTCCATTGTCATGTTCAGCCTCTGGAAGGCGTCTTTGATTTTCTGCTTTTCAGTTCATGATTGCATGTGACCTGTGCTGTCCTTACCAGGTCGGCACACGAGCAGGGCTCCGATCAAACCGGAGTTGATGTCCTTCACGCTATCGGTGTTGGAGGAGTAGGAGTGAGTCAGGCATGATGAGTCGCCATCTGTCGGGCCCTGGTTTTGCTGGATTTCCCAGATGTATGTGTGTGTCTTCCCTGGATCCACCCTGTCACCCTCCTTCTCTGACTGGCTGGTTTCATCCTCATACTTTGCACCTAAAGCCAAAAGAACAGCCAGATGTCACTGAGGGTTCATCCACAACACACTGTGGCTACAGAAATGCCTCTTCCCCCGACCCAGAGCACAGCCTCTCTCCACCTCAGCCCCCGGGGCCAGCCCGGGGCAATGGCTGGTCTCAGGGCAGTGAGCAAAGCTGTGCCAGAGACTCACTTGTTGGGCTGTGCACTCATGTCACCTGCCATGATGCTGGAGGGCACAGTCTTCCAGGACCTAAGCATCCAACTTCGGGTTCAACCTATGTATTACCTCGATAACTGATAGGGGTTTGCTCTGGGCTGTTTGCTCATCCCAGCTCATTTCTGCGCTGGACATGATCTTGTTGTTCCCTTGGGCTAAGCCATCTCTGTGACCATCTGTCCTCGTAGAGGGGTGTCAATAGCAGGGTAAGGGAGGATGTGCTCCCTCCTGGCAGGCAGGCGGCAGAGCTGGAGGTGCTGCGCAAGGGCTTGCAGCACCTGGCTATTGCCCGACTCACCCTCCGACGCCTTCCAGTAGGACACCCCGACGGCATGGAGGTTGTACGGGCGGGAGGCCAGGTTCTTAAAGGTGATGACCACCATGTCATAGACTTCTGCTCGGATGGTGGGGCCCAGGAGACCTGAAGGGGGAAGTCAACAGGGTCAGGCAGCTCACACCCAGCGACAGGCCCCAAAGGGTCTGGGCTTTCCACCTGCACAATTAGCGGTTGTCCCTCACATAGCATGGCAGTATTAACCAGCGTAAGCAAGGCTCCCTGCAACCCCAGCAGTTCTGCCATACTGGGACTCTACCCAGGTGCTGTTCCATTCCTAACCAAGGAGCTGCCAACATCCAACTCAGGATGAGTTTGGCCACCGTCAAGGAGAGCTAGGGCTCACCACGCTGCGGGTGCTTCTTACCCATCCACGCTGGCTTGGGCTTGGGCTGTGTGAACGAGGCATCAGGGTACTCCACAAACACGGCCTTCCTGTACCGCGGAGGGACACCAGGCGTGGGGGGCCGTGGGCCTGGGTGCCCTGACACGCTGCAGGAGGAAGGGAAAGCCAAGGCTGATTGCACAGCCCCATCCACAGACGGGCAGCAGCCACTCTCTTCCTCCCTTCCCAGCCAACTTGCCTGTGCCATGTCAGCACCGGGGATTGCTCAGCTCATTGTGTACTTTTGGTTTCCTGACAACCCCCAGGTATGCTTGGAAACGTTTTGCTCAGCTCATGGATGACAACATGGCAGTGATTAATATCACAGTGTTAGTCATGATGGAAGAAGACACAAGGGCAGGAGGCACAGTGCAATACCCAGCTGCAGCCCGGAGTGGGCACAGCCGCAGGCATCGCTGCCAGCCTCCTGCCTTGTGCCTTGCCCAGCTTCGTGCTTCCCCACCAGCAGAGACCCAGGGCACTGGGAGTGCTGCGATAGCAGTGCCATGGTGGCCTCTGCCCCGCAGCCACTCCCCATCCCTTCTCCAGCACCTTCAGGTGTGGCAGACACATCACATCACGTAAAATCTTGAGCATCCTTCCCAGCTCCACACAGGAAAGAGACTGTGTCGGGCTACATGGCAGGTCGTGGCAGTTTGCTCTGTGGTCTGAGCAACATCCCCACATTTGTTTCTTTTCTGACCAAATTGGGATTTACAGCCAGTCCCCAAAAAACTACTCCTTGCAGCAGGAGGATAAAGGAGTCTTGAATGTATTTCACACCCCACTTATCTCTGCTGGCCACTTTCTATCTGTAAGTGGCTTAACAAATTCATTTTCCAGAGGAATCCAGCATATTTATCAGGATAACAAAGCCATTAATTTCTCCAGGGATTTTAGGGGCTGGCTTATCAGCCTTGGGACTGAGACCATTTCCAGTAACCAGATGACTGCTTCCAGCCTTGTTTTGTTTGGAACAAAAGCCAGGTGGTATTTTTTTCCCTCTGAAGAAGTAGGGAGGATTGCTCTCTCTCTCTGACTAAGCCTTCATTCAAGCAGCAGTTCCCTTTGTGACTCTTCCTCAAGAGGAAGAGGAAGGAGCCAGAGTGACTCAAATTTAGGAAAGGGCAATGCACTCTTGCCCCCACACTACTGTCTGGAAGCCACCTGCAGCTGGATGATGCTATGAGGAGACGGCGGTTCACCCTCCCCAGAGGCAGAGCAGGACAGGCACCTACGAAAAACCCATGCACTCCCAGCTTCTGCCTTTCCCACCACGGCTCTAACCCCGTGTACAGGCTGGCAGGAAACCTCCAGCAGACGTGGCCCCAGTGAGCAGGGCTACTGCATTCAGCTGACTTTGACCATGAGAGCCATTATCATTCCTGGCTTGATAGCAGCAGGGTCTGGGCGAAGCTTTGCTCGCCAGGGTGACCCCACGCTGGGAAGCTGCAGTGCTATGGAGTCTCTGGCACTGGGCTGTCCACTGTCGGGAAGCTGTGCCTTAATCTCTAACTTGCAGAAAGCCCAACTTTGAAAATACATCCGTGAGATATGAGGGTCTGGTACTGATAATTCTGCAGTAAAGAAGGCAGAAATCCTCTAGAGACAGGGATATTGCTGGCACGCAGGGCCATGGCTGTGAGGCGACTTGGTGACACCAGGGCTCGACACCAGGTTCCAGCTGGCACAGCAGAGCCTGACAGCCTTTGCAGGGGACAAGCAGGCAGAGTTCGGTGCAGGGACATCTGGTCCAAGTGCTTCTGGCCAGTCCTCTGCACTTGGGATCCCTGTGGACTTCCTACCCCAAGGGTGGCTGAAGCTGAGAGAGGGAGATAAGTTTCTGGCGCCTTCGATCAGCATTGTTAGCTGCACTATCTGTTCATCTGTCAGAGCCCGGAGATGGCCAAGGTAAACAACCTGCACTGCTGGAGCACTCAAACATGGGCTGCTGCTACGTGGCCGCCAGCTCTGAGCCAGAGGTGAGATCCCTGGGGCCGTCACACGATGTGCTGCTCCTGGCTCCAACCCTGCCAGGAGGGTTGTGTTTGGGAGGAAGAGAAGCTGAAATCATGGAGAAGGCGTAAGCAGTCCTGGCCTGGTGTCCTGTAGCCCATTCATTTGGCAAAGCTTTCTACAAACATGCCAGAGAAAACCACTGGATACATACAGGGGTTTTGGAGGTTCTGCCTGGAGGTGCATCCTTGGGGGCTGCCCTGAGATGCTGGTACCAATAAGGGAGAACGGGTGGAGCAGAAGACACCCCACGCACAGCATGGATGCACCCCAGCTCCAGCGGCAGGGCTGGGCCCCCCCCACCCCCCGGCGCCCCCTCGCCCCCTGCCACAGTCTCCTGGCTCGCTCCTGCTTGCCCCTTCTCCCCAGCCTGGCTGTTTTTCTGTGCCCTCTCCATGCATGGGGATCCGGGCTGAGGCTGCAGGGCCAGGGAAAGGCACCGTCACCCAGCTGGGAACAGCCATGCCGAGCAAGCCCTGGTTCCCACCATGCCTCCCCCGGGAGCCATGCTGCCCAAGCATGCCCTGCCTCTCTGGAGTGGAGCAGGCCACCAAGTCCCTCTGAGAAAGCCAAAGTTATATCTCCTCATTTTAGAGAAGGACAAGTGACCTCAGACTGCCTGCCAGTGCCCGGCTTGTCCCCAGGGCAGCGCCAGGTCCCTGAGTCACTCCCGGGTCAGAAACAGTGCATGAGCGCATCATTAAAGCCAGTGCCAAAATGGAAACCCACAGGGTTGAATTAGCAGCAGGAGTGACCTCACCTTCACTGTAGCCTAAAGGATCCGAGTGCAACGTTAGCAGGAGCAGGGCAGGGGGGAATTACCAAAATGGGGGGTGCTGGATGCAATTTTCCTACTGAAGTAACCAAAGGGGGGAAAAAAGAACGTAGCTCTGACACAGTGACTATGGCAGCTAGTCAGGCTGACCTGGCCCATCACCAGAGCCCGGCTCCAGTGCTCCTCACTGCTCAAGTGTTGGTCTGAGATGGGGCTGTGGGCTGACTTTGCGCCAGTACAGAGCCTGGGGAAGGGGATGTGACAGCAGGACAGAGGGAAGGAGTACGGCTTGATCCACAGGGGGTGTAGCCATCCAGCTCCCCCGTGCTGAGCTCAGAACAGCCCATTCACAGCCGTGTGTGTCCAAGCCAGCTGTGTCTCCAGACAACGCTGTCCTGATGCCTGAGCAATGCAACTGCCACTTTTCCTTCCTACTCCAAAGTGTTTGGGCAAAGCCACCGTGCCTTCCTCCCTCTCGTCATTGTGTACAAACATCATTCTTTGCCCAAACACTAAAAACTATTTTCATTTCTTAAAGGAAAGTTTCAGCCCCAGCAATGTAATGTACACAAAGATACAAATAACTAAAGCTGGGTTTTACAAGGGGCAGACACAGCAGAGAGGCTTTGCTGCTCTGAGTCATGTCGGGGGGCACAGCCAAGCTCCTTCTGCAGCCCCCAGGCAGGGAGGCACGGGACCCCATCTCCCCTCCCATCTCCCCAAAGCTCCCAGGATGCAGAGAGGAACAGAAAGCACAAGGCTGGAGAACCAGCTCTTGGCTCCGAGCACAGACTTTAAAGGGTCACAGGCAAACAGCATCAAAGGTAAAGCAGTGCAGAGCAGATCTGCATCTCTCTGCAGATCTATTCCACCAGTGCACTATCAGGGGTTGCACCTAGTGACTCCTCATTGCACAGAAACATCCATACCCATCTGCACCAGCAGCTCAGTGTACCCACCCTGCCAGGTTGCCCCCATGCGCCTTCCTGCCTGGACCCAAGCTCCCAGTGCTGTGCATGCCAGGGTGGGAGAACACCCACAGCAGGCTGCTGGAATTGCAATAGAAAGAGCTTTACCCTGCCGGCGCTTGCAGCACGGAGAGCAGGTCACTGTGTATATAGTCCCAGGTGGTTTCCACTGCGCCGATGTAGTATCTTCTGACTTTGCCGATGCCCTCCTCAACCAGGCAGAGGAGCAGGAGGCCACGCAGGGCTCCCACCAGCATCATGATCGCTGGCTGGGAACCGCTGTGGCTTCAGGAAGAAAAGTGAAAAGGAAGGAATGAGAAATGAAAGAGGAGAGAAAAGCCTTTATCTTCTCATCCAGCTGTTGTAATCCACAGGAGACAATGATTTAAAGCCAGCACCCACAGGCTCAGTCAGAGCGCTGGAGAGTTTCTCAAAGACATCAGGAGAGGAATTGCTCGAGCAGGATAGTGCAAAGAGAAGCGTGTGAGCGATGGCCTCTCCCTCTCTTCCTCTGGGGTGGCAGTGACAGGAGGAGAGGAAAAAACAAAAGGAAAGGGAGGGCAAGCGCAGCAGTGAGCTCCGCCGCAGGACCCAGCTGGCTCAGTGTCCTGGCTGGGAAAGAGGTAAGGAAAGGGAGGGTTGCAGAGGAAGGGGAATTTAGGTGTGGTCTCTGCCTGGTCCTACCTTCCCTCTCACCGCAGAGGGGAAGGAGGAGAGCAGGTTGCAGGCCAGCACCCTGCTGCTGCCCAGGATACAGGACTTTATTTCCCCAGCAGGTCAGTCTGGGCTTGTGTCTGGGCTTGTACCTGGGACTGGAGCCCGCCGGGGAGCCAGCAGCTGCCTTCGGTACCTGCTAGCCCACATAGCTTGAGGAAATGGCAATTTAGGGGAAAATTTGCCTTCAGGATGCAGATGGCTTATTGCTACAAAGCAGGAGAGGCTGCCCTGTGCCCCCCAGCGCTGGGAGCCTGCAGGGCACTTTGCCTCTGCAGGGGCAGGGCAGGAGGTGGGGAAATAGCCAGGGATGCACATATGCATGTATGTATGTGGGGTGTATCCCTGTCCCCTGGGATCAAGCAAACAGTGATGATTTAGCCACACAACCTCGCTTTGAGCCACATAGGAGGGAGAGGGTTGGGGTGACCCCTGGGAGCCCCCCTCCCACCAGCTGCTCCTCACCGTTCTCCTCCCAGGGTCCTGCAGAACAGCTCAAGAGAAGCTGCACCAAAATGTTTTTGCAAATTTCTTCCGTTTTAAACTCACAAGTTTTCAATATATCTTTTTAAAAGCCCAGGAAATCCCCCACATATACCCCAAATGCACACGTGTGCTCACACACACCCCCCAGTATGTGGTTCTCCCTCGGCTCACGAAGGCAGGAAGATGAGGAGGAACGCCCTGCATGGTCCCAGCGTCCGCTGGGTGAGCAAGATTGGGAAACATCCCATAAATCATGCTATAGGGCAGCAGAAGTGCAATGGGAGCAGTGACCCCTTTGGTGACAGTCCCAGTGTGTGCAGAAGCGTCCATGTGACAGGTCTTGGTGCCTGGGCAACAGAGGGAGGTGGTGGGGATGGCGGAGGGATGAGTGTTTTGGGCCTCCAGATGCAAATCCTTAGTGCAGGGCAGGTAGGGGATGGGATAGGAGATAGGAGCTGAGCCCCCCGGGTAGGAGCAATCCCAGTGGATGTGGGAACACATTCCCCAATGTCCCACTGCCCCATGTAGCCCAGCATAGCCTGGGAATGACCTTGAGCATCCCAGCCCCATGGGCTCACCATGCAGGAGGACCCCAGGTCTGTGGGGTCAGTGACGGCTCTCTGTCTCCCTCTTTCAGAGAGGGGCCAGTTCTCACCACCTTGCTGGGGTCATCTCCTCTCTTCCCACCCCTCTCTTTACAGCAGCCCTGGGGTCAAGGGGGAAAACCTTCCCAGGCAGCTGGGTCTGGCCAGGGCTCGCATGGCAGCAGCAAGGAGCACCTGGGGGGACTCCCCCTCAGCCCATGTAAAACCCCAAACGGATGAGGGGCTGCCCACTCCTTCCTGTGCTCGCCCAGGGGCTGGCTGACGCAGCAGGAGCCGGAAAGTGCTCTCCCCACACCACCCAGCCTGCTCACGGAGAGGCAAAAAGCCAGCAAGAAACACATTTCCTCCAGCTTATGCGCTGGCGGCTGGCTTCGTGCCCGACCTGGGGCTCCTTTTCTTGGCAAGGAAGGTGAGCAACAACCCACCCCATGTTTTCCAGCAAGTATTTTGGGGCAAAACAAGTGCTGTGTCATATTCGGGGATGCCCTGGGTGCTTTGCACCACCTGCCCTGGCGCAATACGTAGAAGGATATTGTT